GTTATTAGGAACTACAAGAGCTGAGCGATCAGTGGAGACACCATGATCAATTACTGAGGTAGTAGATAGTGTAGCACACTGTAAACGAGAGAAAACCTCCAGCAGTGATGGAAGACTAGATCCACCCAAAATCTGAGAACCAATAGCCTCATATTCAGATTTCAATCCAACCAAAAAACGAACAACATTCAGGTCCTCATGTTGCTTTTGCCAAACTGCTGCATCAGTAGTAAACGGATGGTAAGTTTTCATNATTTTTGTTTATTTACGAAAAGTCTCAAATATAGAGAATAATTTAGACCGAGCTTTCATCAAAAATAACCAAGTCACACGAGAATAGTCATCCACAAATGTCACAAAATAAGGATATTTATTAGATGAAATATTCTTTATTGGACCCCATACATCAGAATGAACTAATTCAAATGGACTAGACACACGATTATTGACTCTAGACTGAAATGACACACGGTGATGCTTACTAAGTTGACAAGCTTCACAAGACAAAGACGACACATAACTAAGACTAGGAACTTGGCGCTTTAGATTCTGAAGAGAAGGATGTCCAAGACGACAATGTCATTGAAAAGAAGACAACGAGATCTGTAAACCTCGGGTAGATGAATCAAAATCAAGGTAATATAGGCCACCAGCTTCATGCCCCGTACCAATCTTCCTCTTCGTCTTGNTGGACCGGGTCTGGATCGGTCTGGCTGGAACAGATCTTCTCCTTCGTTGGTTAAGGTTTCTACCAAACCCTATGCGTTCACTGTTGAACACCACCACAGCACCGAACACCACCACACCACAACACCGGACACCACCAAAACACCTCCACAGACCACCACGAAGATAGGCGACTACACCACGACGAACAATCGCCACCACCAAGACAGTCGACTGCCTTCACTGTTGAACACCACCACAACGCCGAACAACAGCACACCGTCGACTACCACCAACGTCAACCACACCAATCGACTACCACAAGCCAACACTGTCGTCGTTGTTGAACACCACCATGACGCCGAACAGCAGCACACCATCGACTACCACCAACGTCAACCACACCAATTGACTACCACAAGCCACNACAGCACACCGTCGACTACCACCAGTCGACTACCACCAATGTCAACCACACCAATCGACTACCACAAGCCACCACCGTCGTCGCTGTTGAACACCACCACGACGCCGAACAGCAGCACACCATCGACTACCACCAGTCGACCACACCGATGGACTACCACAAGCCACAACCAAATAAAAAAAAAAATTCGATGAGCAGTACACCGATCGACTACCATCAACAGTAACAGCACCAAGATTAATGCTCTAATACCATGTTAAGTTAAGAGAATTAATACAACACAATATTAGAGGCAATATTAGGGAGAAAGAGAGAGGTTAAAAAACTTAACCTAGCTCTCATACATAACTTGTATTTATAGTTAACTTACAATAATAATAATAACACATACATCCCTTTTACTATTAACAACTTACACATACTACTACTCTATTATTCTTAACAAGATGAAAACTAACAACATATGCTAAATCAAAAACCACTGGAATATTAATCATGTGCTCTACGGGGAAAATTCAAGTACTGTACCAACAAACTAGTTTAGAATCCATGTTCAATTGCTAAGAGTTAATTCAACTGGAATTCCTTTTGTCAGCATGAAAGAGAAAGGTCATCTTCATCATACTATCACTTGATTTTGCATGTTTGTAAAGTCAAGAATAACAGATAAATTCTAGATAATACCGAGCGTCAAGAAGAAATCACGGCCTCAATAATTGATTAAATATGCATTGCTCATTACTTAGAAGCACTAAAAGGAGAATCAAGAATAATTGAAAACATTATTACTTATGCACGGCATTTCTTAAAAATAATAAGAGAAGGATCAAAATTGATTGAAAACAACAGATGTCTAACTCATGGATTTCAAGTCCAGAAGTGAAAATGCATTCTGTATATTGATAAATAGAATAAGTAATGTTGAGAGGAAAAAAAGGGAAAAGGTGGGAAAGTGGAGCTTGCACTCACATAAAGGGTGTTTAACTGAACACAAAGCATAGGTGTTGTCAACACATTAATTTCACTAGACTTCTTCACATCAGGTAGCCTTGGATCAATTAGTTCCTTCTTTACAAAAGCTTTGATTCCACCTTCCCTACTGTATCGTGTAAGAATAGGCACAGGTGGGATAATATCTTCTTTGCTAGCTGCATGGAGAAAATACAGGGTTCACCATAGGAAAAAGGATAGAAATTTTCAAAGGAAGAGTACAACATGATGATTCGGATATATATACAGACACATACATGAAGTTTTATGATATTAGGAAATAAGTTCTAGAGGCACAAAAAGTGTATGAGCTTGAAGCAAGAAAACCATCAACAGAGCTTTATGAAACAAATTCCATGTTAAATCCACACAAAAATCTCTTACAAAATAAATAAGCACTTACAACTGAAGGGTACTGGAGAAACTTTTTCCTAGATCTTTCTAACTCTATTTCTCTCTCTCCAGATCTTTCTTTCTTCTTTTTTCTTTCCTTCCTTCCCTTGTTTTTTTTTTTTTTTTTTTTTTTTGGGTTTTCCTTGGGGATGAGTGGGATGATGAAATTCTTTTCTAGTTGAACATTACCAATATGTCTATGTGCACCAACATTGAGATTTTTAATCATTCAGTTTGAGCAGGGATTACTCTCTATTATAACATGTCAGAAATTCTTGGTTGAGAGTTATATTTTCCTGGCCCTTCTTGTCGGTTTTCCAGGCCCCCTTAAAAAAATTCTTGCACATCAGTTGGATAGATCAAAATTAAAAGGTAAAGTCTCATATGTCTTGTTTAAAATTCTTGCACATCACTGTCTTTACAAAAGTTGACCCTAGGATTATTCGATGCATGAAAACAAGACAGGCAAAGAGCCATTAAAACTTCTGAGCATTGAATGAGTAACCAAAACCAACTAAACAAGCTTCAAGTACATACATCAGGCAATTAGGATGANCTGACCCTAGGATTATTCGATGCATGAAAACAAGACAGGCAAAGAGCCATTAAAACTTTTGAGCATTGAACGAGTAACCAAAACCAACTAAACAAGCTTCAAGTACATACATCAGGCAATTAGGATGATTACAGCCAAAAAGGGACGGCACTGATGTAAACCCTCATGAATCCTAGGCAACTAAGAAGCATGGACACAGACACGAGACACGGATACGATACGACACAGACAAGACATTTTCTCAAAAAAGTAGGACACGAACATGTTGAGGACACCCTACAAAAAATTANCCTAGGCAACTAAGAAGCATGGACACAGACACGAGACACGGATACGATACGACACAGACACGACATTTTCTCAAAAAAGTAGGACACGAACATGTTGAGGACACCCTACAAAAAATTATATTTTATATATAACATTAATATAATTTATTGCAAATATAGTGATAATGATATACAATTTATAAAAGAATTCGGTATTTTATGATAAGTAAAACTTATGTCTGATCATCTATGTGAATTTCTAGACTAAAACATCCTCTTAATAGTCAATAATCATCATTTTTTTTTGTACACAATNCGATATACAATTTATAAAAGAATTCGGTATTTTATGATAAGTAAAACTTATGTCTAATCATCTATGTGAATTTCTAGACTAAAACATCCTCTTAATAGTCAATAATCATCATTTTTTTTTGTACACAATGTATACTTAATATATAATCTAAATAATTGCTCTCATTTTCTCAATTACTCTTTTTTAAAACTTTTATGCATATTTTGTTTTTATTATTATATTTGGAGTACAACTTTAATATGTCTAGTGTTGGTAATTATATGTTCTCAAATTTTTAAACTTTGTTAATCACATTTCTTTTAAACTTTGTTAATCACATTTCAACACATGTTTATTGTTTAGTAGTAGACAAATTCTAAAGAAGTGTCAGACACATCACCAAAGAAGTGTCGGATGCGTGTCCAAAAAAAATATTTTATCATTTAATTATGGACACGGATAAAAGAGTATCGGACACGAGTCCGAGAGTGTCCGAAAAGTGTCGATGTCCAACACGTGTCCGACATGGATACATCACGTTCTCGAGAGTGTTCGTGCTTCAAAGCTAGGCAACAAATAATAACAATTTCTCCAAAAAACTAGATGTGAGAATCAAAAGCTCAATTACCCATATCTAGAGAGAGATAGAACATGATTTAAATTCTATGCGTGGCATTATAGGCAAAACAAAAGATCGCGTTAGTCATGCAGAAAGAAAGAAAAGTGGTTGACATTAGCATGCCTCTCCCTACACAATTTCAATTTTCAAAGATAGCATCCCCAATCTATTTGTGATAGATGAAAAACGTAATTCATGAAGTAAAAACTTCTATGTAAAGAATCTATGATTTAAATTTTGTGTGTGCCATTATATGCCAAAGAAGTAGAGTATGAATCAGAAGCTCAATTACCCACATTGGGAGAGAGAGAGAACATGATTTAGATTCTGTGAGTGGCATTATAGGCAAACAAAAGATCACTTTAGTCACGTAGAAAGAAAGAAAATTGGAGAATAAATTAACATTAGGATGCCTCTACCTGCACAATTTCAATTCTTAAAGATAGCATTCCCAATCTACTTGTGATAGATGAAAAACGTAATTCGTGAAGTATACTCTACCTAAAGAGTCTAAAAGTACTGACATACCCAATTTGTCAACAACATGTCTGGCATAAACTTGAAATGCATTGTCAATGCCACGAAACAGGCTACTCAGTTCCCCAGGCCTCATTGGAACCTTAAGAGCAAAAAATTGATCAACTGTCTGCAGTGGAGAAACAAAATAGTAGAATGCATTAGCAAGCATATTTTTAAGAGAGATTCCATAATGCTTTCTATAAAGATCAAAAATAGCAGTACTGAAAGCACATAAAAGATATACTGCAAATTCAGAAGTTCCAAAAGGTAACGCCACTTCTGTGAGGGTTTATTAACATGAGAGGCAAAAAGAGACAGAAAATGCTCCAAAAGCAAGTACTCAAAGCAGTCATTAAGATCCTGCTGATCAAGAGACTTTAGATGCTACACATACATAAAACTGCACAAACCGATGTCTGTCTCAAAGTTAGGAGAATGTGGTCCACGTGTCTCTTCATGGGGTATTAAGTTTTTAAATGAAGTGACAAAACCAGAGCATACATCCAGAAGAAAATGGGGGAAGGTAAGCCCTGTTTTGTAACATGATTGAGGTTTTCTTTATGGCCGCATAGAAGAAAATTGTGTGTCCCCAATCTTTCATGATGCTAGTTTGGTTGCAATAAATTCAAGTAGCATATGGCACTGTCTCATAGTAAACTATTCTAGATATTCACAGTTTTATTTCATAGCTGCTCCTATGGAATTACTTCCTGATTGCTTCAGGAACTGTCATATGACCACTTAAGACAGATGGNCAGCATATGGCACTGTCTCATAGTAAACTATTCTAGATATTCACAGTTTTATTTCATAGCTGCTCCCATGGAATTACTTCCTGATTGCTTCAGGAACTGTCATATGACCACTTAAGACAGATGGTAAGCATAGTCCTAATTCTGCTTGAGATGAGATTCCCTGGTCACAATAACAAAGTGAGCCACTGAAGGATTGTCTGTTTCTCAACGGTAACTTATAGATACTCTTCAATTCTTTGTATGGCAATGAAAGACTGATTATTTACCAAAACAAAGTAAAGGGGTGGGTCCCTCAAGTAATTAGGGGGGATGAACATTCGGCCCCTTGTGATTTTAAATACAAATTCCAGCAACATTATGGAAGTATTCCTCAACCCATTTAGAGAAGTAAATAGAGAAAACAGATGGGAAGAGCAATAGTTATGAGCAAAAAAACGATGAAAGGCAAGACGTTTAGACTAATAATGCTCACTGTAGCCCTTGCTGTGATCGTTTATCATTATGGAGGTACATAAATGCAGGGCTGCAGAGAATCTAAGCTGCGGACTGGAAAATATAGAAATATGTAGAAGATTTTCAATAAAACTTATCTCCTTCAAAATGGTTCTGGGGAAAAGGAAGATATGCACTTGGGAATGTCAGGGAGCTATACTAGACAACATTTCAGATTTGTTAGTGGCCGCCTACTTTTGCCTAACTATGGTCTGTTTGCTGATGTCTAGCCTAGGATTAAAAATCATCGAAACTTAGGAGTGGTGATCTTGTTGGGCTGTGAACTTGTTGGGGCCTAGTTCATGGTATGGGCATTTATGTCATTGTAGGTTGCTGTGATCATTTAAGCATGTCAACAGTAAAAGTTAAAGCTTCACCACACCCTCAAACCCCCCCCCCTTCCTCCTCCTCTTCTCTGGGGACGGGGTCCCCCTTTGTTTCCTCTAACTTCAGCGACTAAGAGTGAGTGCTGTTGTACACGTGGATCAGATGGAAGGAGTTCTCAAAGGTCTTGTTTTGGGATTCTTCAAGATCAACGAAAAAAGCTTGTTGGTGAAAAATGGGACAGAATGCTACATTTATTGCAATCCAACAATATGTGTAGAAGTGGCCATATTACTTTTTGCATTTGAGAACCTTTTTTACTCACAAGAGCATAAAGACCTTCCAAAGGCTTCAACTACTCACAGCACCGTCGTATTGCTTAAAACAATTATTTCTAGATCTTAAGTTTTGGTGGGTCGCATCTGTAGTCAATAAAATGGTGAGGTGGGATGACCTTGTCAATATTCGGGAATGAGCATTAGAATTAGAGTAATTGTAATCCAACAGGATAGATTGTCTATATTTAACTCAATATGATACTTCAACTTTCTGAATCAAAAAAACAAAGACGTAAAAGCAGGATTCGATCCACGGCTCCCATCTTCCCTAGATTAAGTTGAAGTTTCTCTATATGGCTTACTTCTAGTTAGTATAGTAAGTATATAGTTCTTCAAAGGAGCTTAATAGCTTAATTGCGGCTTGGGTATCATAGCAGACAATTGTTTTGTGTGGTAACGACTCTTCCACCTTATATTCAATTATTGAGGGATGTTATTCACCTCTTGAAATAGCTCTGCATATTAATCAAGGAGGAATTTGTGGTTAGTTGTTGAGTTAGTACTTGGATATCAGATTTGAATTGAATCCGAAAGAAGAAGAAAATATGTTAAGGGGTGTAGGTAAGCCCTGTTACAGGTTCACTAGCCTAGCAATTAGTCAACCGTTAAGGCTTTCCTGCTCGACGAAGCCAACCATTGGTCGACCGTTCAGACCATTCTAATTGACCAGTCTAACCAATGGTTGACCATTCGAATCAATCTATCAATTTTCTTCCAAATCGTCTTTTAAGCTCTGCCCTATTTTGCATCTAAACATTGCCCAAAGTAGTTGTTAACCTTACAGACCTTGCATACATGTTGCCGATTGAACTGCTATATGATCAAAACATTTCCACGTACAGGGGTGGAGCCCCACCATTGGACTAGGTTGGGCGCATGCCCACCCTTAATTCTTTTTTCTTGATATTAAATATGTATTTTTTTTAAAATAAAGCTTAAACATATTTAATTGTGTTCACCTTATCAATGTATTCTTGTAATATCAATAAGAATAGACCCCTCCCCACATGATTATTAAATTTTGAGTAATGCTATTGAAACTTAATTTAAAGACCTATGGCATTGTGACATTAAGCCTAATAGTAAGTAACAATATTTAAAAAACTTCACTGTCCATCCAATGACCATAAGTCATTAGTTTTCCACCAATTAAATTTCGAACTAGGTGTAACTAACATTATTTTTAACTTTTAGACCCGTTTCGGACATATATCCGAATAAGTTTTGGACATATTAATGTTATTTTTGTTATTATATAGAAATGAGTATCATTATGCAATAAACTACTGGGTCATTAATGGGAAGTTTTTGCCAGAATTTATATGCAGAAAAAAACTAATTTGTTGATGTCATTGATTTTTAACACTTTTAAATGATAAAAATTCATCAAGCTCAATTGTAAATCACAATAATTAGCCTCATTCTTGATATGAAGTTATAATAATTTATTTACTTTTTTTGGTTGAACAATCAGGTTTTAATCTTTTATGTTTAATGAACTTTTCAGCATTAAATATGATTTCAATAAATATGAATTTATGAACTTTTGCAGTCAGTTAGGAAAACAAATAAACAATTAATACTTATATGTGTCCACCCTACAACAATTTCTTAGGCTCCGCCCTTGCATACATGTAAATTATATAACTTAGTAAGCTAAGCCGACAACTTCAATTTCATTCTAAAAATGTATTCACATGCATATTGTTAGAGTAGTTTAGTAAACTTAGAATTATAGGGGTAGTTTAATTTGTTTTCTCGTATGTTGTCCCACTATATAAGGGTCTCTATTATGTATCTTAGGTTTTGATATAGTTGCACAAACTTATTGTGTCATAATGATATTTCCTCTCCCTATTTCTTCTTTTCTCTTTCTTTGATCAATTATTGGTATCAATGCATGTTGTGATCCAAAAACATAACTAACATCACACTTATCATTTCATAGAAAGAATTTATTCTTGGACTAGTGCTGATGTAATCATCATTAGCCTGAACTCATCATCCTGGAGCATTGTTGATGTCACCTCCCAATTCGATTTTTCATAGCATTCTCATGGTGTGCTTGGTTTTTGATTTCATGGTCATTGGATAGGGTTTTCTATTTTTCGATCTTGAATTTCTTCTTGTTTTCTTCAATTTTTTTTCTTCAAACCAAGCCTAAGGAGTGCAACTAGAGGTTTTTGGTGCTTGGTTGGTTGTGTGACTTGAGGGCAAGTGGTTGGACTTTATTGTTTTTTGTTGGTTCTAAGGGTTGTGAACAGTACTGAAGTTATTGTTCACACCATGAACAATAACTAAAATTGAATATATTGTTGCCTTTTTTGCTTTATTCTGGTCTAGAAAGCTCAATTAACTATAGCCTATAGGTACTTGATTTTCCAGGTTGTTGGATTAATTTGTGATGAAATTTGAGTTGTTTAATCGGTAATCTGTTTATGCCTATTATCACTATCGCAAGCTAAGACTCTATGTTATTGCTCAATTTGATGATTCTGAAGCATCTTCAATTGATTGTTTGGTGAAAACTTGGTGGACTTCTATTTTGTGTGTATTGATCTTTCTTCACTGGTGTTGGGCTTCATTCTCAGATTGTTGTTGTTGTATTCACTGCTCCCTGGTTTGTGGGTTTGGTGGGCTTCTTCTAGGGTATTAGTTTGCTACCCTTGTGATTGTGTTACTTGATTGTTGGGCTGAATTTTGTGTTTTGGATTTGGTTAATGTGATTTGATTCTTGTTATACAATTTTCGTTTGCTAGAGTTATGGCAAATAGAACTCTAATTCTCATCAGTTCATTAGTTTAAAATTGACTATGATTGTAAATCAGTTGCAGAAGCTTCTTCAACGGCCTCATATTCTCTCAATCTCTGCTTTCATAGGTTGGTTCACTTCGGGTCCTTTAGGTATATCTAGAACTGTCTAGGTTTTTCACTTAGGTACTACACATCACATGACCAGTGATTCTTCCTTTTTTGCATTTACCTTCTCTCATACCTCTTTATTTGCGCTTGCATCCAATAGTACTCAAATGTCATAGTCGATATTGGGTCTATTATTTGTCCGCAACTATTATTTCCTAATGTTTATCATATTCCGCAGCTCACCCTGAATTTGAATTCCGCTAGTTAGGTATTTAATTCTGGATTTTCAGTTCACTTTTCTTCTTGTCGTTCTGTCGTGCAAGATCCACGTTCCAAGAAGTTGATTAGGATAGGTAATAAAAAGAGAAGGTTATGTGTTGGATGAATTGCATGTTTAATATATTGTTGCCTCTACTGTTGATTTGTCTTCTTTTTGAGTTCACAGTTTTTAAATTTTTATTTGTAGCATTCTCGTCTTGGTCATTTTTCTCATTTTCGTTTAAAATATTTGGTCTCTATTCGTAGTTTGAGTAATTTAAAGTGTCAGGACATTTCCAGCTATAGTGGATGTAAGTAAGCTAAATTATTGCCTTTTAATAAAAGTTCTACTAGCTCTCTTGTACCTTTTGATCTGATTCATTTTGATGTATGAGGAATTACTCCTATTCCTACAAAAAATGAGTGCAGATATTATGTCTCTTTCATTGATGACTATACTAGGTATGGTTGGGTCTATTAATGAAGCATTATTCTGAATTCTTTTCTATATTTTTTTTCGTGCTATGGTACGTACTCAATATTCCTTTGTTATTAAATGCTTTCAATGTGACAAAGGAGGAGAATATTCTTTTAATTTTCTTTTTAATCTGTTAAAATTTGTTGACACTATTTGTCAATCTTCTTGCATCAACACACCTTAATAGAATAGTGTAACAAAGCATAAACACTGATATATTGTGGAGACAACACTTTCTCACTTGTTTGCAAGTGTCTCAAGTTCTTTTTGGGGAAAAACAGTGCTTATTGTAGTACATCTGATTAGTTGCATTTCCATTGTCATCACATCTAGAATCTCTCTCTTTGTACGCTAAGTCACCTAATTATTTCTCCTTATGAACGTTTGAATGCACATGTTTTGTCTTACTGTCTAGTGTCCTTTGTACTAAAGTATGCTCAGTGTGTTTCTTAATTATAGTGAGGGTCAAAATAAGTATCGTTGCTCTGATCTTGTTGCATACTGTCTCTCAACATTTTGCTTTCATGGAGTATATTTCTTTTTCTATTTCATCTAGTTTTTCATATTTTCATAAATTTGGTCTCATTTACATTGATCCATTTCCAATTAATATTCCCTCTAACACTTATGTTGGTGATATGATTGTCAGTGATGTGCCATCCTCTTCTAATTTGCCCATCAATCATCCCAGTATTGTACATACTTATGCTTGTAGGACTCAAGTTGTCTCTTCAACAGACGTGGTGTCTCTCTCTTCTACTGTCACTCAGTCAGGTGCTAACAATGTGGATTATATTTCTCGCTATCTTGTAAATGTCCAGATCAGTTTAGTTTCTCCAACTCTTATTATTTACTGATTTTTGTTCTTTCATAACTTCTATACACTCTCTTTCCAAACCTACCCATATAAAGAGACTGTTATTGATCCTCTTTGTAAACAAACTATGGACAAGGATTATTTTACATAAGACTGGCACCTAAGAGCTTGTGTCATTACCCTCTGGCAAACGTGTGGCTGGTTGTAATATAAGTGAGNCTATAAAGAGACTGTTATTGATCCTCTTTGTAAACAAACTATGGACAAGGATTATTTTACATAAGACTGGCACATAAGAGCTTGTGTCATTACCCTCTGGCAAACGTGTGGCTGGTTGTAATATAAGTGAGTTTATAAAATTAAGACCAAATCTAATGATTTTGTAGAATAATACAAGGCTCAATTGGTAGCCAAGAAATTTACTCAGGAGTATGGCATAAATTATGAAGAGACATTTACTCCTATTGCGAAGATGACATATTTTGTACTGTGATTGCAGTAGTTGCTATTTGTCAATTGAGTCTCTCAAAGATGAATGTGAAAATTTTCTTTCCCGGGAGATTTAAGGAAGCCTCTATGGCTCCTCCAAGATTAACTGATAGTCATGGTCAAGTGTGCAAACTCCACAAGACATTATATGATTTTAAACAAGCTCCCAAGGTATGGTTTGCCATGTTCTTCAGTCATCTATGACTTGAATTTTTGTGGCAGTGACCATAATTCTGCTCATTTTGCGGCTCACTTTCTCAGATTCTATTATTCTCTTATTTTATATTTATGTTAACAATATGATTATTATAGGTAATGACATTGTTGGCATACAATTATTGAAAAATCAATTGTAGGATCATTTTGAGATAAAAGATTTAGATCAGCTCTAATATTTCTTAGGTATTGAGATTGCATTCTCTCCCCGAGGTTATCTCATCTCTTAGTCCAAGTATGAAACGATTGCAATTGATCAAATCTGTTCTCTTTGGCATTCAAGTTTATTGGTCTAACTGGTTTTTACTCCCTAAAGCCACTATTAAGATCAATTGAGATGATTATGAGATCCTTCCTAGGATGTTATTTAGCGAGTTCACTTATTAGATAACCGGACAATTGAGACACCCTTGGAGCTCAATGTTCCATATTCTTCTGCTAATGGCACTCTCTTGGTTGATCCTACCCTATATCACACTCTTATTGGGAGTCTGATGTATCTTACCATTACTCGTCCCGATATCTATTATATTGTTCACATTGTGATTTAGCTTNCCTATATCACACTATTATTGGGAGTCTGATATATCTTACCATTACTCGTCCCGATATCTATTATATTGTTCACATTGTGATTTAGCTTGTTGTCTCACCTACAACTGTTCATTGGGTTGATATTCTACGCATTCTTCGGCATATTTGAGGTACTCTTCATCACAATCTATTATTTCCTTCGTTCTCTTAGGATTTACTCAAATGCTAGTTGGGGTGGCGACGCTACAAATTGCAAGTTCACCACTAGTTTCTATCTCTTTCTTGATTATTCTCTTATTTCTTGGAAAAGTAAAAAACAAACGATAATTGATCACTCTTTTGTTGAAGCTGAGTATCGTGTTATGGCATATACCACAGCTAAAATAGTCTAGTTGTGATGGCTACTTGTTGACCTTGGCATCATTTTATCTGATTCTACTCATATGTATTGTAATATACTAATGTTATTCANGTGATGGCTACTTGTTGGCATCATTTTATCTGATTCTACTCATATGTATTGTAATATACTAATGTTATTCAGATTGATCAAAAATCGGTCTTCAGAGTACTAAGCATATTGAAATTGACAACTACGTTGTGCGTCATCACCTTCAACTATGCACCATCTCTCTCCCCTTTCTTCCTTCTTCTTTATGAAGTCTTATACCATAGCGTATTTTCATTTTCTTCCCAGCTCTTGATGTTTTCTACTAATATCATGAATTTGAAGGGGGTATTAGAGTAGTCTAGTGTACTTAGTATTTTAGGGGTACTTTAGTCGTTTAATTTATTGTATGTTGTTCTACTATATAAGGGTCTCTATTATATATCTAAAGTTTTGATGTTGCACAGACTTATTGTGTCGTAATTATATTTTCTCTCTTTTTCTTCTGTTCTCTTTCTTTGATCAAAATTTACATCACTTGTTCAATATTTCATTGCATTGAGATTAGGTTCAAGTTGATTTGGTGTGGTCAGAGTCGGGGTTCAAGTTGAGACAAATGCATGTATGAAACAGGATGGTTAATGAATGGCATGTTTTTCTAAATTGTCTTGGTTTAAGTGTATTAATACATGATGCATGTGGGATGGGATAGAAGTGTATTAATACGGATATTCCACTAAGGCAGGTGCAATACCGACATTAGCAGTTCAAATGGCTAAGTAAGAGAGGTCTTAAGTTGTGATCCTAAAGGTTTTGATGTGGTTCACTATGTTATTATATTGCCAAGTTTCATGTATATGCAAGAAATGAATTGCTTATGCTATACAAGAGTTATGAAATATTTTCCTAATTGTAGACCATTATTGCATTATTGTTTATATATGTATAAGCGCGTTGTTAGCCAACCCTCCCCCCTTCCCCAAACACAACAAAGAGTTCTTGTCTTTTCAGTTGCTCTTAAGTAACAATCAAAATTTTGTTTCGGTGCATAATTTTGGTTAGTTAGAAAACGAAAACTTTTGAACAAGAAAAATTATTTTCAAAATATTGGTCGAAACACTTCGAAACATTCCAAAACGCCTTGAAATACAGAAATTGCAATATTCGTTTATTGATTGGCTTTGGCTTCCATGACAAATTTTGGTGGAAACGAAACGCAATTTTCATCCTTGCTCCAAAGAGGAAGGATCCACTACAAAGTCGAGTATGTAGAGGAAAGAAGGTCGAGATAAGAAAGTGATTGATATACGAGTTATACTGTAAATGATGTATGCTGACATGTTAGGTTTATAGGGATGTCGGTAATGCTCCACCTTGGGAAGGTGCAGCTGGCCTTAACCAGGGTGCAGTGTGATAGCAAGCACACAAGCAATAGTAAATGGCAATATGCATACCTCTTCAACAATCCTGTAAACTTCAACAATTGAACTTCCATGCCGCTGCTGAGGTGATATTGGATCCCACCGCTGCACAATATTTAACCAAAGAATTACTCCACAAAATTGGAAATAATCTAAAATGGAGGAAAAAAACAGCTCATACTTATATGAGCAAATGAAGACAATATCAACCGATACCAGCTCAATAATAATAGTCACAACATTGAATGCCCAAGTTATTAAATTGTCATGTCAGGAAGACTGCCTAGAGAAAATAAGATGAAAGAACAAACCACCACATGCACATGGCATAGGGAGATGGACTAATAACTTGACCTCTATTTACTTAGAATTCTGTTGTGTTTTTAACGATATGCATATGAAAGCAAGCTCTTACTATTTCTCTTACAATGTGCTGCAATGCACGAAAACAAGTCAAAGTTTCCATAGGCAAACCTACAACCAACTGCTGCTGGGCTTCAAGTCTCCTTGATTTAAGTTAGACTAGCACTTCTAAATGTTTTTAGGACATAACCCAACAAGAAAATTCTGTGATTAGATTAGATTACAATTCTAAAAAGAAATAAAAAAAAAAGTACTCCAACTTTACCGCAGAACACCCTACGTTAGACAAACATCTAATCTCAGGAAATCTTTAAAAAATGAGCTAAAATGTAGAAATATTTAGGCATTTTGCACATCCTAATTTCTGGAGTTTAGATACATAGGAGTCTGATATTCGCATCATCGACAAATACCATGGTTCATGTGAGATAAGTGACAAAGGTTTCAGTAACTCATAAATGACACATCGTAAAAACAGGAAATTTCACAAGGTTCAACCATTATTTTATGCCAAGAAGATTGAATTGCAAACATCTTCTAGGTAATCATCTTTTCTAGATGTACATAAACAAGAGACACATTAAAAATAGAGATAAGCTGGCAGGTAAGGCTTTTCTTTGTCAGTGGGTTTCCAAGATCTCTTTGCTAGTCAACTCACTGAATGTCTAAAAATGGAGTCATGTTCCCAATCGATAATTAATGATCAAAACAAACAGTGTGGATGTAATACGGAAGCTCATACGATTCATGGGATGAAATTGCTCCTCATAATTGTTAAGAGGCAACTAACATCAAACCAATTTGCAACTAGTGGAGAGGGTCCTCAACATATAAACCACCTTGGGTAATGAGGGAGAAATGCGCAAGTATCGAATGCACACCCATTTGGCATTGCTATAAACAAACTCAAGTAATTACCTCCTGTTGAATAGCACGCTCAACCCAACCTAATATCCTTCCCAGTTGTGAATTGACCCAACGCAACACCACTGTCCCAGATATAGTTTCAATCTGAAAAAGAAATGAAAAACGAAACGTTAAGAACAGATATAAAAGAAGTTACAAAGAAACAAGGTTGATCGTACTAGAAAGCCTGAACACAAAAGGTTTTTCACCGAAGAATCTAATTTCGTAGCAAACAGCAAAAGCATAAATCAAAAACACTCTTCGGCTTTGCTTACACAGAGGAAACACGAGAGGGTATATGACATCTGCACTGGCAATGAAAGTATAGCTACGGTAATGGAAAGACATAAAGGTGGCAATAGGGCTGCAAAGGAACTAAGTCGGTCAGTTGAGCTGGGCTCATTTGTGCCTCGCTTGAGCTCCTTTCAGACGGAACAACCTGAGTGCGACCTTGGTGTATAGGCTTGATTATTAAACGCCCAGCCTAAGCTGGCACAAGCTCCGATCAGTGCAGCTTGCGAAGATGGGGGTAGTGGCATGCTTCTTAATCTGAGAATATATGGTATTTTGTTGCGTGTTGCATGCGTATATACTGTCAGATGGGACCCCAAGTTTATCCTATTATCCCTTTGTGTCAGTGCACCAAGTGGCATATCTTTCAAGCACAACAGGTCAATTACATCACATAATCACCCTTCTATTTGTCACACTGCAAAACTTTGAATTGAATTGAATAATATAGTAATTATATCTATTTAGTCCAGTCTTTTTGTTATTGTACGGTATAGTATATATTGTCTCTTGTACTCATTTTCATTATTGATGGAATATTAGAGTCATTCCTGTTTTTGCAAGCTTTCACAGTATCAGAGCCACTCTCTTGCAATTGAGTAACCATTGATCAGTTGTTGCTTAATATTTCGAAGCCAAGGCAGCACCACAATCAGAAATAAATCCAATGAAGAGAATGCAGTGTGTGAACAGTACCTGTCACTATCCATGAACAGTACCCATAACGGGCAATTCTTTAGAATTACTACAGCTTTCCCATTCCCTTTGATAATATACAAAAAATGTCTCTTCCACTTTCCTACCAAATCTATCTAGTGTTCACTGCTCATGAACAGTAGTAATACTTGGGAGTCCCACATGGTTGTCTTCGTATCTTTTTGTTGTATTTTCTAGCATAATGGTTTCAGGTTTTTGTGGCCGTTCGATACACCAAAATCCTAATTTTCAGTGCATCATCTAGAATTTGGTATGTCAGAAATCAAAGCTTTTTGCTACAATTGGTGGCAAGACCCTTAGTTATTGTCAGCTACTGTTGTAGGTTAAAAAAAAAACCGGTTTGGTTTTGAAATAACAATCATGGAAGGATGGAAAAAGTCAAGATCTAGATTTGTGTTTCTGAATCGACCTCACGAGTTTTAAAGAACTGCAACCATGGGATATGAAAATTCAATTGTTAGACCATCTGCAAATGATCAATTCCAATTAGTCCCTTCTTCGTCTTTCATTGCCGAGTACTTTGGAAACTTCTATATACAAATAAGCCTAATGTCTCATCTCCTATAAATTTGCCTTCATCAACATGTTCACGAATCTTTTGCTCCACTCCGGTTTTTTATTCAGATCATATACGCCATATAACTAATAATCTATCTTTACNAGATCAATTCCAATTAGTCCCTTCTTCGTCTTTCATTGCCGAGTACTTTGGAAACTTCTATCTACAAATAAGCCTAATGTCTCATCTCCTATAAATTTGCCTTCATCAACATGTTCACGAATCTTTTGCTCCACTCCGGTTTTTTATTCAGATCATATACGCCATATAACTAATAATCTATCTTTACTTCTTTCTACCTCATCTCCCCCTCCCTTTCTTGTTCTAGTTGCCAATAGAACTTTCATATCAGTGGTAGGTGTTGAATCTATTATGACTTCACCTCTCTTTATGATGTTTATTGGATCCCTCAACTATCTCTCAATTTGATTTCTATTAGTCGATCTTGCTTAATTGTTCAACTCTCCACCACTAGTTGTTTTGTGCAGCATCCTCATTCTAAAAAGTTGATTGGGACTGTCAGAGTTGGAAAATTATATGGAGTAGAAAATTTGTTTCAGGCGTGGCTACCTCTTCTATTGATTTACCTTTCTTTCGTTTGAACCCTAAGTCTTCCACATTTTATTTATGTCATTCTCATCTTTGCATATTTCTAATTCTTGTTTTGATTTTTTAGTTTCTACTAAATCTTTAGGAAATGTAAGCAATGTTTTTGATTGTAGTGGCTAAAACTTGACAAATTCACGACTTTACCTTTTTAAGAATTGCTCCACTTCTTCTTATGCTCCTTTAGACCTTGTGCATTCTGATGTGTGGGGTCTTGCCCCCATTGTCACCAAAATGGGGGTCTTGATGCTACGTTTCATTTATTGATGATTAATTTGATATTCATGGACTTATCTCATTAAAGTAGAAATATGAATTTTTCTATTTTTGTTGCTTTTCGATCCATGATTTACACAAAGTATTACGCAGTTACAGCTATTAAATGTATTCGGCCTAATTTGAATAAGGATGTAGATATTTCATTTTCTTTATTTTTTTGAAATCTAATGGAACTATTTATCAGTCCTCTTATGCAAACACTATTCGACATTCCAGCCATTCATTCGCAAGTGACTTATAAGATGTGAGAGAGGCTCTAAGTCATAACAAGGAAGGTCGGGAACTTCACTCTAATAGGGGATGGTTTTCCCCTCAATAAAAAAAATGAAAGGCTACTTCTTGGATATTTTTTTAAATTGAGAACTCAATATGAAAACAATGGTGTGACTGAGTGAAAGCACAGACACATTATGGAGATTAATCATTCACTGCTTTTATATGCGTCTGCCAGCTCTTGTTAAAGATGTTTTTCATATAATTAATAAGATTCCATCTATTATTTTTTTGATAAAAGAAGAAATTTTATTAGAAAAAATAATCAAAAAACAAAATACATTGTGGAGGACAAGATATCCTCGAGAAGAATAAAAAAAATAATATACATCAATTAATAGCTATATGGTTAAAGAAAACAAGGCCGCATTCCAATCCCGTTGAAGGCTTGACAGAAGCAACCTTGTAAAACTCCAAGTGGTTTTGGTCCATAGAAAAGCCATAAAAACAACTATTTTCCATAATAACCCTAAAGAAAGAATATGACTATTAAATATTCTTGCATTTCTCTCCATCCAAATACACCAAAGAAGTGTCATCAAAGCACAATTCCATGATAGCTTTGCTTCCTTTTCTTTCCAAAACCCCAAAACTTAATCTGCAATAACATTTCCACTACTGAAGCACACACCCAAACCTCACTAGCTAGCTTCAATAAATTATTCCACAACCCCAATGCAAAAATGTATTGAATAAATAAATGATAAATGAGCATCCATCTCTTCACTATTCAAACAAAAAAGACAAATATAAGGACTCAAAGATTTATAGGGCCTCCAAATCTACAACAAATCGTTAGTGTTCACCCAATTAAAGACAACAAACCAAGCAAAAGCCTTAATTTTTTATGGAAATTTGACTTTCCAAATAAATTTGATAAGGAAAAAGACTCGGTGTTTTGGGACTAACAAAATGTGAGTAGAAGGATTTGCAAGAAAATAGCTTCTCAATCATTAAGATTTCTAAACNTATGGAAATTTGACTTTCCAAATAAATTTGATAAGGAAAAAGACTCGGTGTTTTGGGACTAACAGAATGTGAGTAGAAGGATTTGCAAGAAAATAGCTTCTCAATCATTAAGATTTCTAAACAAAATGAAAATCTCATGAATAAGAGGTTATCCCCAAAACAAGAAAAGATGATATATGACCCTCATGGAGTGAAGACAAATGATAAAGACATGAAAAAATACTATAAAAAGATGAATCTCCCATCCATATATCTTTCCAAAATAGAATTGTAGATCCATCTCCAACCTTATACCAAGACAAATGAAGAAAAAAAGGATAAACTTGTGAAATGAACTTCTAAAGGCTCATATGGGTCACAGTATGCCTTGGTTTAGTATCTCACTCATTTCTCTGAAGACCATACCTACTCCTAATTATCTTATACCAAAGGCAGTTAGGTTCTAACGGAAATTTATAACCATTTACATACAAGAGAAATGGTTTTTGACATCGAATTACCAATTCATAATCTTTTTTCGTCTATGGCTTACAAACTATTTTTCAACTCACTAAATGATCCCCCTTTATCATCTTCGACCACATACCAAAGAAAGTCCCTCATCATCTTCTTTAATTTTCTAAAAACTACTACTGGGAATCGAAACACATACAAATAAGGGAATGCTAGACAAACAAACCTTTATCAAAGTGATCCTCCCTCCAAGAGAGAAATATATCCTTTTTCATCCATCCAATCTTTTATTTGTTCTTTCTAGAATGGGGATTCAAAAAGATAATGATCTAAAGTTTCCCCTCAGTGTAATCCTAGATACATCATAAGCCAAACATGGGATTCCTTCTATTATTACTTCCAGTGTTTTCCTTTTAAATAGTTACGTCGTCAACCTCCTAATTACTTCATATTGCGAGAGTCTAGTAGTACTTCTTTTGTTTTGATTCCCAAAACTGAACGAAAGGAAGTTATTTACTCATTCTACTATGTGTGTTTTTCTTGATTATGGTGAAATACAAAAGGAGTATTATTGTTATGACCTTGTTATCAAAAGATTGTATGTATCTAGAGATGTGGTCTTTCTTGTGCATATTCCTTTATTTTTCATTCCTTCTACTTCTAACAAATTTAATAAATCTGATCTTATTTACATTAACCCCTTCCTTGATGATATTTATGATGATCTCATATTCATGACATGCTCAATTATGTCATTCAGTCTTTGCCTTAGTCTNATAAATCTGATCTTATTTATATTAACCCATTCCTTGATGATATTTCTGATGATCTCATATTCATGACATGCTCAATTATGTCATTCAGTCTTTGCCTTAGTCTTCATCTTCCACATTTTAGTATCGTCCTATTGTTCAAATATATTCTTGAAGGAACAAAACTAACTCATTTGCATGTACATTATACCTCTTTCGACTATGTCTCCACCTGCTTCTCATGATACAGATCCTCCTTCTTCTCATTATTCTAAGCATATTCGTAAGTGTTCTACTAGCCTTGGTTTGTCTCACACTTGTTATTCCTCTGATTTTTATTCATTTTTACTTTTTATTCACTCCCTGTTAGAGCCTACCTCCAATAAGGATGTTGTTCTTGATCTTATTTGGCAAAAGACTATGAATGCAGAACTTTCTCCGTTACATGAAACGTTGACATAGGATCTTTTGTCTTAACCTATTGGTAAGTGTGCTATTGGTTCGCTGCAGGTATCTGATTAAAACTAAAGTTGATTGCTCTGTTGAAAGACATAAAGCCATATGAGTTGACAAGTGTTTTGCATAGGAATATGGCATTGATTATGAGGTGTTTTTAGTTTCTCTTACAAAGATGATCATT